TGTGGTTGGTTGTGTATTTTTGCACATGTTCCTGTTTTGGATGTCAAGTTTGCACAATATGTCCTTCTGTTCTACTTAACTTGAGATCAAGATGGTGTGGACCCTCCTCCTATTATGGGTTGAAGGTTCTGTTCCTAATACCACTTGGTTTTGGACTGGAGTTGACTGGCGGCAAACAGTCTGTCATGCTCTAGCCACTCTACACCTTACATTTTAACTTTCCCCACATTCCTGTCTGTAGATGGTTCTTGTACAGTGTTTCTTCTATGAGATTTAGCTTCTGATAAACTGTGATTCGGATTCCAAACCAACCGGATGTCTCTCCCTTTTTGATTGTGCTCTTTCAACTTTCTGCCTGTGTATGCAGCACCTATTTTCATACTGAGTACAGAAGAGGTGCAGTCTCCCATGTTTGTTATTCTCCCAACAGGGATCATACTTCATGGGTGTTCTTCAGATGCTTTTGAAGGATACTTATTTTCTTTCCCTCACACAGGTCCCTCTGCCTGTTCATTGTGGGACCCTAGCTATGCACATGAGCAGAGGTAATGTACTGTATTGGAAGTTATATTGATAGAATCAAACTGAGGGAGTCACATGCATCAGGAGAGTGTGTCACACTCCTATTGGTGGAGGGCTGTCGCATGATGACTTGCATGTGAGATGCATTTTAATCAGTCAACTGTAAGGTACGTGGGAGTTCAGGACTTGTGGCATGCAAAAAAATTTGCATATAGAGAGCAGCACTGAACAAGAATAGCTATTTATGTGTGATGAAGTAAGTACCTATTGGAAATACATTATCAGTATATGAAAATTATAACTTTTAATATTATAGCTATGGGCTCTTGTCATGTTCCTTCATTTATGGTATGGTATAGCACTTTGTGATTTCTGTTCTTAAACATTCAAGGTTCCAGCTTTCACACCCATTTGTCTTGTTTCTTTCCATTCTTCCATGCTTAATTGTAACTCTTAAGCCTTACATTTTAATATTATATTAGACCTTTGTGATTTTTTTGTAGAACAATAGGTGCCTTTGCTGTCTAGCATTACATTCTTTGGATAGAGTTTTTAATGGTACAATACAAAGATGGATAATTTGTTTTTATCAGCAGGGCCATTTGAACTCGATCAGTAAAATACAGCCAGCTTTGAAATGGTGGCCAATATACCTGAATGTTTATTTTTCTCCATTAAGTTAAAAAAGAGCATGGTAGTGGTAAACTATACCATAGTACATATGTAATTTTATTTATAGAATTTAAGTCATGTTACTTTCTAGTCTTAGGAAGGGATAATTTCACTCAAAATATTTGCTTTGTTTTGAGTAACATGTTTGGTTATCAAGAAGTTTCCTCTCTATCTTTTTAATTGTGGCTTTTATGCTTTTATGAAAGTAGCAACATACCATATAATAAACTAGCATATAGTCCTTCAAAAATGACAGGGCAAGTACTACTATCCCCACCTCATAGTATACCCTAACCTCACATTTCATAGCTGACTGAAATAAATAAATTTTGTAAAATCAAGCCTGACAAACAAAAAGGCAGAAAAGTGCAATCAAGGCAGTCAACTATAGGTAAATTCCTTTGTGAGCCAATCAAAATTAAGATAATTGAGGAAATGAATTTCTGGGGTATTCATAGAATATTTATTGTTAAAAATCATTTAGATTAACAATTTCTAATGTATGGAAAAGCCAGTGAGTTTTGGTAACACTACTATCCAACAATGGCTGTTATGTCATGTTGCTTAGCAACAAAAGTATAACCTCATATTGTTGTTAGTCTATGTACTGAAAGTATAAAATAAAATGTATGGACAATAAAACTAGAAAAATATTTGTTGATTTCTTAATTTAGAGTTTCCATTGATTAGAGTTTTTTTATTAAAAATGTTGGTGATATAACAGAAAATAGCTTAATTCAGAAATCTTTTAAGTTTAAAATTGAATCAATATTTTTACTTTAATGATAAATTTTATGCAACTGGCTCTAGGCTAGATGATCCCATAATATGTCTTTACTCTAGGCTTATTATACCAACACTCACTACACTTATAATGTTTCACAGCAACTTTGCCCCCCCCCCCCCCATAACTAAAATCATAATGGGCAGACAGTAATCAAACTATTCTATCTGGATAAATGCATTTTGGCTTTTATGGCTCCTCCTATTTCGGAAAATCAGGAGAAATCAAGCATGACGTGACACACTTTCTTTTATATAGGTTAGATGTAATAATAAACCTAAACAATATGGATCAATTAAACTAAGTTTTTAATGAGGTTTGATGGTCAAAATTTTTAAAAGAGTAAATTAGGCCACAAATCTACCATTTTGTCAGCTTATGAAAGAATTGGCTTTCCCTACCGTACATCTTCAGGCGCAAATTAAAAAATATAAATATTACTTGCAAAGAACGTGCTTATAATTGAGTAAATATAATTCAGAAAATAATACCTGAATATCACAGTAGTACAGTTCTAAGTTTTTAAAATGTGCATTACATTTATATAAATATTAGGTCTTCAAGAAATTGATGTCATTTTTTTTTAGATGAAAAAAACTCGAACAACTTGTATACCAAAACAAAACATTTATGAAATGAAATAATCTCCATTCTTATCGATGATGCTTACAATCAGGTTGTTAATACCCTGTTTAAAGAAATCACTTGGTTTTGAAGCAAAAAAACATGTCGATGTCCTCTTTAATACCTTCCACATTTGCATATGTTTTCCCATTAAGATGGTGCTGTATCAAACGAAAAAAAATGGTAATCTGATCATGCCATATCTGAAGAATATGGTGGGTGGGGGAGAATTTCCCAAACCAACTCCATAATCTTGTGTTGCATCAAACATGCCACATGTGGAAGTGCATTGTCATTGAAAAGAAGAACATCTCTCTGATTGATGAGTGTTTCTGGTGAAGGGTTTGATTTAAATGTTCCAGTTACTGACTATAGATCTCTGCATTGACAGTTCGCTGTGGATTGAGGAGTTCAAAATGAATTACTTATTTGATGTCTCATCAAATACAAAGCATCATTTTATGCTGATGGATTCCAGGTTTTAGGGTTGGAAGTGGTTTTTGTCTATGACTGAGCGTTTAATATTTGCAAAGAGAATCCATTTTTCACCACCGGTGATAATTCTGTCCAAAAATGGTTCACGTGCATTATGCACCAGAAGAGATGAAGCAACATTCACACATTGGAAACAATGATCATTGAATAGTTTTTGAGGCACCCAAACACCTTCTTTATGGAGTTTTCCCATTTTCCCATGTATTGTTTCATGAGAGACATCAATTTTAGGACCATTTCACAAGTGTGTTGCATTGGGTTAGACTTAA